GATTCTCTTGCCTCAGCCTCCCAAGTAGCTGGGACTACAGGTGCCCGCCACAACACCCAGCTATTTCTTTTTAGAGATAAGTTCTCACTCTGGCTCAGGCTGATCTCCAACCCATGAGCTCAGGCAATCCACCTGTCTCAGCCTCCCAAGTGCTAGGATTACAGGTGTGAGCCACCACACCTGGCTGCTATAGTATTTTTTTAATATGAGGAACTGCTCCCTTCAGGAGAGAAGATGCTAGATAAAAATTCTACAAAGAGCAAACCACCTCACCAAAAATTCTTTTCTTATGGCTAAATCATTGGACAGACATCGCCTAAAAGTGTAGGGCTTTCCAGTGGGTGTATATGGAGAATATGGAATCAAATTTAGGGTTAGAAGGACTTTTTTAACTTTGCAAATCAGTTTCAGAGGGGACAGTGAAGCCAACTGGAGCCAGAGAAAAATTCAGAATTTTGGGTTCTTAGCTCCTAGCCCAGTAGAAAGGAACATTCACACCCTAATTCCTTATTATCTGTGCAAGGCAAAAATGCATGTGCACAAAGATTTGGCAACTTGACTGCGTTCTTTAGAATGCATATGATCCTGATGTATTTTTTATTTTATTTTATTTTAAGACAGAGTCTCACTTTGTCAGCCTTGATAAGAGTGCTATGGCGTCATAGCACCTCAAACTTCTGGGCTCAAGCAATTCTCTTGCCTCAGCCTCCCAAGTAGCTGGGACTATAGGCGCCTGGCCACAACGCCTGGCTATTTTTAGAGATGGGGTCTCGCTCTGGCTCAGGCTGGTCTTGAACCCCCCACCTGTCTCAGCCTCCCTAATGTATTTTAAATGTGTGTGTGTTTGTTTGTTTTAAATTAACCATTCACCATGAGAACATAGATTAGTTCAATGATCGAATTCTTGGACAGGCTTATGCATTGCTTCAGGACAGAGGTGACACTGTTTGCTGTTTTTATTTCACCTGCTCTTGCCCCCTTGGTTGTAGAGAGGATGCTGCTGCCAGAGCTTCAGAGGCAGAAGCGATGACGCAGCACAGTGGTGGATCTAGAACCCAGAGTCTCTGGCCTGTGCAGTGGCCTCCTGAGCCCGCCTGCCTGGACATGAAGAACACTGCAGGCTCCTGCCTTCTGGGCAGCAGCCTCCTCCCCCTCCATGCGGGGGACAGAGGACATGGGTGTCCCTCACTGGGGGCCTGGAGCCAGAGGGAAAGGGAGGCACCTTCAAGGCGGTGTTCTCTTACCTTTTGTAATCGCTTCTCCCTGGTTAAGCTGGGCAAATAAAGCTGAGCGTGAAGGAGAGGACTCCTCTTTCCTGCCTTCATTCTCAAAAAGGGGAGGTGGTCCTGGAGGAGGCGGAGGAGGAGGGGGTGGAGAAGGGCCGGGCCCAGAGGAGAGGACGGAGAACGCTGATGCTCCGGATGCCACTGGACCCTGTGAAGATAGAAGATGGGGAGTGTTGCAGCGCAACTGCAGCCCTTGCTGCGATTATGCCTGAGTGATTCAGAACCTACTGCCGGGGAAGGAGTAAAGCAGTTCAGACCTCACCAAAGGCTCCCGCGGGGCATGCCTGTGTGTCTCGGATCTGTGTGGGAGGACCTGAGCCAAGGTGATCCACCTTAGAACGGGGAGCTTGACTTAGCTGCACCACCCTCTAACCCAGAGGCAAACAAAACCATATTCACAAGTTCGGGTCTAAGGCTCGGACACGAATAAAACTGGGCCTTGGCCAATTTAGAATCGTCAGAAAAAAGGGGTCCAATTAATAGAAGGATTAGCTCCTTCGAGACACTGCGAACTAAACACCAATGAGAGGAAGAAAAAAAAAGAAAGAGAGGTGAAAATATTCAATGGTTTTTAGATGTTTCTGCCTTTTTTGAACAGCTTCCGAGAAAGATACAGAGACTCTCTGGAACCCATTTTCCAAATATGCATGCCTCAACCTGACCCTCCAACAAGGCCCATATGTGACCTGGATGCTTGTCACAACGAAGGTAATGAGGGCCCAGGACCCATCTGACAGTTCATCAAATGCTGGGTGTTAGGGGACCAACTGGAAATCAAATTCCTCCTGAACAAGGGCCATGTTTATTCTTCTTTTCTCTGCTATGTGAAGTACAACCTTTGTCTTCAATATGAAGGTCTAACAAATTCAAATGGCAGCAAAGGCAACGGACAAGAGAGGGATTAGTTACGGTGTTTTGAAGGGACCACACAGACCTTAACATTGGTAGGGCAGAAACACACACCTAAGACAAACCTGGGATATACACCATCGTACTTTTAAACCTTCAAGTAGAACTGCATACCTGTGAGGAATTACAAGCTAATTCAGTAGTCAGGAAACTTAAAAAATTGAGTGATGAAATTCTGGCTTAGGCACATATATTTTCAAAACCAAATTCAAAAGATAAAGCATAACTTAAATGATAAATGTTAACAAGTACAGCATATCCTTATTGTCATAAACAGCTCAGTGTTATGCAGTATCAAAATCAGAAAGCTTTAATCTGTAGTTTTCACTTGAAAAAAAAAAAAGAACCAAGCTATTTTCACAGTATTTCTGTAATTCCTACTGAGGGTAGAATCACACTGAAAATAAAAGATGATTCTCTTATTCAGAATGCACATTTATAGAAATTTAGCAGGCTGGAGAGCTCACCTCCTAAAGATATAATATGTAGTGGGTTTTGTTTCTAAGGAAGACTAGCCTGACTCCATCAGGATTCTCAGGTCAAGTAGAAAATGATTTCACAGTCCTTGAGACTAACCAATTTTTCCCCCAGTATCTTAAATGTTTTCTATTATGTTACTTGGGTGAAATTTGAGAATTTGCTGTGAATCATAAATCATAATATAAGCTTTGTGCATCAAACAATATTGTAGTCTTCAGTTACAGACACTGAGAACCACGAAGTATTATTTTTACTCATAAATGCGCTAACTCACATTGTTGGTGCAAGGACAGACCTCGCTCTCCCCTCTCAAACACTGCACTTCTACAGTCCTATTTTATGGAAAGAGGAGACGATGCTAGTTTCTAAATCTTGAACGATTTAGATGGCTCCCTTGCTCTCAGAATTCAGAGCCGCTCTCCAAGAGCCATTAAAGGAC